TAAATAAATATATATATATATATATATATATATATATATATATATCTACCATGGTCTTGCATCCTTTCTATCCCACTGATTACATTTCATATCACTCTCCTCTGTTGTCATTACCTTTCAGTGAGAGGTCCTCTCTCTGTTTTTTCAACTTGCCAAAGTTTTCCTCCTTCTCCTCTGCAGCATCTGAAAGGAGCTGGCCAAGAACTGGTTTAAGTACCCTTAGCTGACCACCCACCTCCAGCCTAAAAAGATGGTTGAGAAGACTGACAGGAATTTTTTTGAGAAGATAGAGAATTTCTTTAGAAAATGTTATTATTGTGTTGGGAATCTAACCATCTTAAGCTTAGTGAGAGGGGCTATGAGGGACCCACTAGGTAAACCTTGACATAAGTCACCTGGAGTTTGGGGGATGCAAAGGACTGGTATCTGACTCATGAAAACAAAAAGCAAAAATAACCTTGGGGTGGGAGATGGATGGAACACCTGTGGCAGCAGACTAGAAGGCTGCATTTGGGAAGAAGTGGGATCTGTTTGGTCTGGGTCAGAGTTGTAGGTTTCTAGCCGCTAAATGTGGAATCCAAGGGAGAGCTATTTGTCTGGGGTCATTTCCAAAGGGATCCTATGCAAGAGGGCTTCTGCCAGGTGGTGAGGCAGCTTTAAAAGGAAGAAGCTGAGATTTACCCTCAGGAACAGGAGCTGATGAGGGATTGCAAATAGCCAACCAACAGACGTCTGAACGATGAGCAGGAAGTTGGGTAAAGAGTTGGGGAGGAGTGTCCTGAGTCTAAATGATTGCATGTGCAAAAGCTGAGGGGTAAGAGAGGACCTGATTTATTTGTAGACCTGAAATGTGTCTAGCATGATTGAATGCTCTGTGTGTGTGGTCAGGGTGATGATGACTCTAGGTTGGAGGAGTGGCATGAGATGGAGAAGGGTGAGAAGAGTCCAGCCCTCCTTAGGTATATTATGGGATTTGGAATTTATCTTAAAGACAATGGGAAACTTCTGAAAGATGTGATATGATCAGTCTTGTGTTTTAGGAAGTTTGCTTTGGCTGTGGCCAATAGAGTAGATGGTAGAGTCAAAGAGTGGAATTGGGGAGCTAAATAAAAGACCATGGCTGTAGTCAGACAAGGGGTCATGGTGGGCTGGTCTAAGAACGTGCTAGTGGGAAAACAAGACAGTAGCCAGATTCATGAAACAGGTAGGAAAAAGATGACTGACTTGAGGTGGGGAGAAGGATTGGTAAAAAAAGGGCAGAAGAATCATGTACTATTCCCAGATTTCTTTCTTGAATAACAGAGTAGAAGACGTTGCTATTCAAAGAGGTGGTGAAGACAAGATGAAAGCAGGTTTGAGGAACAGATACTGATTTCTGTGACGAATGTACAGCATGTGAGGCACAACGTGTGCTTCTGTGTGGAGAGGTCGATTTGGTAGTTGATATATAAGACTTGTACCCAGGAGGAACATTTGCACCCAAGCTTTACATTTATGCATTAACGTATGATCTACTTTTGAAGCCATGTGAGTAGAGTGTGTACAGTGAGCAGAGAAGATAGTCCTGGACAGACCCCAAAGGAATAATGATGTTTAAGAAAGAAGAAACTAAGAAGGGGACAAGAAGGAACACCAGAGGAGAAGGACAATCGAAAGACAAGAGTAACATGGAAGAGTGGTGTTGGGAAGGAGATGCACTCCTTCTGTCAGATAAGGAACAAATATCTCCACTGGTGATGAGGTGCTCAGGGTGAGTCTGACCATGACCAAGTCTAGGGGCCTAGGTGACCTGGTAAGTGAGAGGTGGAAAAGCAAAAACAGCTTGTGTAGAGAATGCTTGTTCTGCCATGGCCAACAAACTTGTGAAAACATCTTCCAACTGAACTAATAATAAGGGAAGTTGAAATAAAACTATAGTCTTACAGCCAAAGATTTAAATGACTGCCAATCAAAACTGAATGTCAACAAGTAAGTGAAGAAGTGAACACTACCAGTTGAGAGGTAAATTGGTACAAACTTCCTAGTGGTGTTTTGATAACATCTAAAGATTTATTCACAACATTTTTCAAGATGTTATGGTCTAGTTAGAAACACTTGGCTAAAAATGTATTTGATGGTGGTATCATGGTAGGGTGCCAAAGGGCTTAGCATAGGGGACTCCCTGTATATTACAATGAATTCACTTTTTAAATTCATTTTTCTTATTGTGGTAAAATATACATAACATTTACCATTTTGACCATGTTCAGGTGTACAACTCGGTGGCATTAAGTACATTTACAATGTTGTATAACCATTATCACTATCCATTTCTAGAATTTTTCATCATCCAAACTAAAACCCCCTTCTCATTAAACAGTAACTCCCCAATCTCCCCTCCTCCCAGGCCCTGGTAACCATCATTCTACTTTCTGTCTATGAATTTGACTACTTTCTGTCTATGAATTTGACTACCTACTCTAGGTACCTCATATAAGTGGAATCATGTAATTGTCCTTTTGTATCTGGCTTATTTCACTTAGCATAAAGTTTTCAAGGTTCATCCATGTTGTAGCATGTCTCAGAACTTCATTCCTTTTTAAAGAGTGAATAATATTCCACTGTATGTATATATTACATTTTGTTTATCCATTCATTTGTTTCAGTGGAGGAGTTTTTCCTTTCCTTCCTTCCTTCTTTCCTTCTTTCCTTCCCCTCTCTCTCATTCTTTCTTTCTCTTTCTTTCTCTCTTCCTTCTTTCCTTCCTTTCTCTTTCTTTCTTTCTTTCTTTCTCTCTCTCTCCCTTTCTTCCTTCCTTTCTTCCTTCCTTTCTTCCTTTCTTTCTTCCTTCCTTCCTTCCTTCCTTCCTTTCTTTCTTTCTTTCTTTCTTTCTTTCTTTCTTTCTTTCTTTCTT